GGGTTTGCTCTCTCTATTCCGCGTATTTCCGTTATTGCCCTCAAAGGCTTAGCAAGCATAGAGCTCGAAGGCGGTGCTGGTGCAGCTCGGCCGTGGAGGTAGGACGGATGGATGTTATATCCAGATGGTGGCAAGATGTGGGGTTGACGCGGACGTGGGCGGTGGAGGTTTGGGTGTTTGGTTTGTCACTTTGGTCGAGTGGCGACAGCCACGTGACACCTTCCTCCGCATCTCCATCTTCATTCTCTTCCTCTCCATCTCCCAAGGCATTAGGATTCTTGAGAGCTTCCCCCCTAAAGACGATTAGAGTCATGATATGAGACAATCTGGTCCAGAACTCACCATGTTAGATTTCCAAGGCGCCCATTCGCTCTTTCTATCATGCCTGGCCGATGGGAGTCGCGACCGGCTGTGTTTGTATCATCTTGCAGCTACATAAGGTCAGCTCGAGTCCCAGAAACAGGAGAGACACTCACGATGTCTGCTATCTTCCACGGGATCGAAGCCCTCCATAATCTGTCGCTCAATATCTTCATCTTCACATTGTTGCCACAAGTTTGCGACAAGGGCTTCGTGCTCCTCGATTGTTATTGGTAAGAGAGTCTCATCGAATACCGGTTGTGTGTCCGTATATGGGATAGGCTCCTGAGGGTTGTCACCGGCGAGAAGGGGCAGAGGGTCGCTAGTTACGGCGTTGATAGTGCTGTAGGTACGAGATTGGGAGTCGGTAGACGGTGTCGCCATTGAATGTCGGGGACCATTTGACACAGGGATCTCATACCCATTTACCGTGTTCGCAGAATGAGCTTTCCATCGCGCTTGGTAGCTCAGTTGAGCATCTCGGACTGCTTTCTCCGACAATGCTTTCTTGTGTTTATCGGTTGTCTCATGAGAAATCATATTCCTGCGACCGATTGGATTGGGGACTGGATGGCACACGATGCACACTACCTTGCCGTCATCTGGCAAAGGGAGGCGGCGGAAACCTGTCTTGTATATCAGCAATGCTACTAGCTTCCTGAGGTAAACATACCTCTGGCGTTGAGCTCTGCGTCTGATAAAGGGGCTCGTCCCATACTGGTGGTTTAGGTGGGAAGTGATGGAAAACCAGGGCTCAGGTCTTGAGAGAACAATGGAAAACGCGTCGCGTCGCGTTGAAACACTCCCTGGCACCACAACCGCCGCGGCGATTGTCTTTCGGTCTTTCGGCCTTTTGTGTGTGTGCCTTCGCCTCCTCCTCATCGAACTGTTGTTGTTTTTGTTGTTGTTGTCCCTTTTGCTCCCTGTCCCACTCCCATCCGCTCTTTCTCTATTGTTTCGTTCCCGGCATAAAACAATGCGCCAGAATGAACAAATGAAACTCTCTTCGACCCACTCGACGTGAGAACAATAGATGTAACGTGATGTCTCGACCCCAGTTGCCGGAGGCTGCCCACATGGTTGCGAGCGCTTACATAAGCTGTAAGACCTGTCTCTTTTGTGACTATATCCCCATCTTTGCTCACTTCAACTACCCAAGATCACACTCACCTTGTCCAACTTCCTAACCGCTACCGACCCCTTTGCTGCTGACTATAACTTGGATGACTTGAGCGATAATGAGCAGACGGATACCCCTGCCACTCCTCTACGACGCAGCCCCAAAGGGCATCAGAAATCATCTGATGTGTCTGTCGAACGTCTTGGAACCTCCAGCGCCCAACAAGGCGATGCGTCCGATTATACCAGCGTTCTACGCACTCACAAGACCGCCGATCTCTGGGAGAAGAGAGACAGGAGCAGATGAAGATGTTCTGTCAAGTATCTATTAGTGAATTTTATATGTGGGTTGCCTTAATGTTTGCATTGGCAGTTCGATGTGAGACGCCAGCTGCTCGAGACCCATCTCAGACCCATCTCAAGCAGCATGCGTCTTTCCAAAGAGATGAAGCAAACCAGCGGGCACAAGAGGCTATGGTAAGAGGTCAGTTTACTCTCATGTATATTCGGCAATCCTCCCTTGCATCGCTCAAGGCTGGCCGGTTCCAGTTGTCCTTCCCGAGTCACAGGCTGGCCGGACCGTAGACGAAGCTGGGACAGGTGACGGGCTCTGTGAGTAGCAAGCTTTTTCTTCCAATGCTATGTTGGATTGCTTCGATACGTACTTATGCTCGATAGGTGACTCTGTTGGCCAGCTCGTCGACCCCCGTCCTTCTGGTACGCACATATGTCTCTCAAAATGATGTCTACTAACCAAAGGGTAGTGGATCCACAAGCTTTCTTGCCGGCATCCTCGCAGCCCTTTCGACCGGCGTCCTCTTCCAGACTGTCTCGACCGGCGTCCTCTTTACGACTCACCCGACCAGCATCCGGTCCCGGGGGAAGACAGACGAGATGAGGGCTTCTCAAATGGCCAGTAGCACAACGGACGAGGAAGAGTCAGGCTCTGAGGAGGAGGCTGCAGAAGGTCCAGCTGCCAAGAGGGCTAGAAGCAGCCCAGGAAGGAGGATCAGGCAGGCAGGCAGGAGCGGGCGGGGAGGGCGCACAGAGAGGGCAAGCAGGGAGAGTAGTCAATGGAATAAACGTTCTGTAGATGTCTGATGTAGCTTGTCTGTGTGTCATTTTGATATTTGTAACAGCTGCAAACAATGTCCACCAGACATTCTAACATACCCTTGAGAATATTGATATAATGTTTTTGGTACCCAGGAAAATATCAAGGCGACGTCGGCAACAGCTGTATACAACAACGTCCACCAGACATTCTGACATACCCTTGAAATCATCCATATAATGTTTTTGGAAACTGCAATATCCGAGCGACATAGAGGCAATTATCTACCTCCACTTTGAAAACCTGACAAACGCTCACTTGGATATACAACTCAACAACAAAGCTGCAAAGGCCGGAAGGAGGCGAGGAGGCGGGGAGAGGAAGCGCGGTCAGAATCCTTTCGAGGAGGGAGGAGCGAGGACAATGGTCGGAACAAGGGTTTCGAAACATAAATGTACATCGCACAATATGCTTATCCGTCCTCTCTTACTCGATGAAAGCCCCATGAATAGTACAACACGACACATACTCGTAATCATCAACGGCAGATACAACAAAGACCATCGTCGGTGTACAACAACCCCCCAAACGACAAGACAAAAGTCCGCCCATCCAGCATTCGTACACTACTCGTAAACCTCATCAAACCCAATTATACCCCTGCGCCAGAACCCACCCCCCACCCTGCCTTTCCACAAACTCCTCCTCCTCCCCCCACTCCAACGCCCCCTCAACAACCCCCTCCGAAACCTTCTCCCACCGTCCATCTTCTTCCCACCCCTGCAACTCTCTGACCAACTGCTGTACCGTCACCCCTCCTCCAACTCTCGAGCCCCACAAGCCCCACCCGCTATGTTTCTCTATCAACGGCACCAATAAAGGGAGGAGTAATTGGGGAGGGAGGGAGAGATAACCATAAGGCGAGTCGGAGGTGGTTAGGAGGGAGGAGAGGCGGGTGGGGATGAGCTCGCCGGAGGAAGCGGCTGTGCGGAGGGTGTAGGTGAGGAGGGAGGTGGTGGCAGTTGTGATTTGGGGTTCGGATAGCCATGTTGCGTTTTGGACTTGTTCCTCTCCTTCCACGGGGTTTCCGGCCTTGGCCCGGGCAATGACTTTTTCGTTGGCTTTGCGCAGCTTTCGTCTCGCTTCGTATATCGCCCGATCATCCTTCTTCTCCAACCCGCTTTTGATCCTTCCCTTCCTCTCGCGTTCTGCATCAAGAGCTTCTTGGAGTATGATCCGCCGCGCTAGGATATGGAGGATAGGGATCGACAGGATGTCTTGCTCGAACAGAGGCGTAAGAGGGCCAATAGCTTGTTTCGCCGTTAAAGGCGCTCTACTCCCCCCTCCCCCTCCTCCTGGTCCATCCCGCCGCTTAACATATTTCAAATAAGCCGGAAAGTACCGCCCCAACGCGTTCCGACACCGTTCAACCCCGCCTTCACGGATGATGGTGGAGAGGGCATCTTCAATTGAGGAGGAGAGGTGGTGGATTAGGTAGCGGCGGAATGTGGGGCGGGTGAGGGCGGAGGGAGGGAGTTTGGAGGGGTGGCGGAGGCGGGGGCGGGGAGGGGTCTGAAATATCGTCAGCAAGGGATGGGGAAGGAGGGGAAGCAGAGGAGGCAGGCGTACGAGGTTTTGGGAGATGGATTTGGTTGGGGAACCGGAGAGTGTGCAGATGGTTATATCGCTAGCTGGATGTTGGCCCTCTTCATCCTCCTCATTCGGCCTCTTGCTGGGTAGAGAAGTCTTGGATCGAGCGATCTTGCCTCTAGCGATGGGTCTGGCTGATGTAATTTGGGGGATGGCGAAGGGGCGGTTGTATAATTCACGGTGTAGTTGCTCGACGAGCTCGGCGTGGTGTAGTTGCTCTTCGGGAGGTACTACTTCTGCTTTTTCGTAAGCACAACCACTGGAAGAAGCAGAAGAAGACTTACGTATACTCCCGCCATTATCCGAAACAAGAACCTGCCTCACCGTCCCATCCTTCCACCGCATCTCCTCCAACGCCCCGACCACCCTCACAGTATCCCCCACCATCACATCCGCCCTTTTCCACTCCTTCATCTCTTTTGCCATTTTGACCCTGCGAGCGAGGACTTCGTCGACCTTGTCGCGTTGGCGGAGGGAGAGATGGACGGGGGAGATGCCGAGTTCGGAGGCGATTTGGTGGAAGGTGGGAGTGGTGGCTGGGATGCGGGGGTGACGGACAAGGACGCGGATGCTGTGTACTCCGTCTCCATCGTCGACTGTGGCGGATCAGTAGAAGAATGAAGTATGGAGGGCGACTTACGGTATACGACCATGGAATCGTCTTTGTGGTCTACGCCCGCGACCCAGGCAACAAGCTCAACGTGAGAGCAAGGGTACTGGCCAATGATATATGCGCCTGTTTTCTCCAGTCAGCGGGGTATCGACCAGAATATAGAAACTCGCTCTGTCTGTATTGTACGGCTTCAGTGTCAGGCGGGACAATCGCGCGGGCATTCCAGGCATCTGCGACAAAGCATTTCGTGACTGCGGCAGGTGACCGTAGCCAGGCAAGCAGCAGGGGCAGCGGGGGCAGGGATATCTTGGGGGGGACATTGTCCGTGAGCCCTGCCATGGCGTCTGTTTGTTTTTGTTTTGACTTTTGCAAGAGATGATGGTGCCTCCACCCGCGCGAATTGGCAGCCGTGGGAAAGCTGTCCCCGGGCCACCGAGCAACACAAGTCATCTCCTCTTTCATCTTCTGCATCTCCACAATCTACCATGCCCATTCTCACCATCAGCCCACACAAGTCACAGCCAACCCCGGAGTTCTGGTCAGCCCTCACAGCCCACAAGCTCGACCATCTCAAGCTTGACGACTCGTTCGTGCCGATTCATGGTTATCTCGAGCAGGGCAAGCGCGTGGTCATCGATAGAAATGCTTCGCAGGAGAGTGATGACAATAGAGTGGGGATAGATGGGAGTGCTGTGCTGGGTGGGGATGCGTTTGTGGCTGGGGAGAAGTGCGTTGGAAACTCCCGCGCTAGAGCATCGCTGACTCATGACAGATCACTCCCCAACACCATGCCCATGCGAGGGACTTTGAAGCTATTCAACACCATTGAAGAGTTCAGTAGTACCGACCTGAAGAAGAAGGTCTTCCATGAAGTCGTCCAACAGGTAAGGTATCACGGCTCCAAGCAGAACGCGCTGACAGCCCACAGATGCTGCAATCATTCGACACTGATACACCCCTCTTGAACACTTTTCTCCTCGTCACCTTTGCCGATCTGAAAAAGTACAAGTACCACTACTGGTTTGCGTTCCCCGGTTTTGTCGCCAGTCCGCCGTGGAACTTGAATGGGGATCTGAGCCCTGCAAACGCCGAGGTGGGTGCGTCTAGGTGTTTTGGAGCTGTGCTGATAAGCCGTAGGAAATCGAAGAAATACGGGCTCTGAGCTCGAAGCTCGACAACCAAGAAGCGTACATTGTCAGGGGATCCACTGGGCAGCGTCAAGTAGCGCCGTTAACGTCTTGTTCTGCATTCTTTGACCAAGGTGAACAGGTACGCTCTTTCGTCCCGAGCAAGCATCATGGACTGATCAGCATCAGGTCACCATCGCCTTCCACGACCCCTCCTCATCCCCCTCTTCCCCCGGCTGGCCTATCCGCAACTACCTCTTCTACCTCAACGTCAAACACAACGTACACACTGCCCGTATCATCTGCCTGCGGGAAGGCGGCTCCAGTCTTGAAGGTATCGTAAACCTTGACAAGACTCAGAATGCGCAGGAAGCAAAGGCAGTGGGGTGGGAGGTGAATAAGGCAGGGAAGTTGGGGAGTCGGGTGGCGGATTTGGGACCTTTGTTGGATCCTGCTAGGTATTTTTCATCATCACTTTTATTTATGGCGAAGCTGATCTGTATCAAAGGCTCGCGGCTCAAGCTGTCGATCTCAACCTCAAGCTCATCAAATGGCGTATCATGCCGTCTTTGAACCTCGACAAGATCTCGCAGACCAAGTGTCTTTTGTTAGGCGCCGGAACGCTGGGATGTTATGTTGCACGTGTTCTTATGGTACGTCCTTCCAACATCTGCCCGCCCCCGCTGATCAACAAGCACAGGGCTGGGGTGTCCGAAACATAACATTCGTTGACTCCTCCACCGTCTCCTACTCCAACCCCGTCCGCCAACCGCTCTTCACCTTCACCGACTCCCTCTCCAACGGCAAACCCAAAGCCCAATGCGCCGCCGACGCCCTCAAATCCATCTTTCCCGGTGTCAACGCCCAAGCGCACGCCTTTTCCATCCCCATGCCAGGCCATCCGCCGGGAAAAACGGTGGGGGAGGATGTGGAGCGGTTGGAGGGGTTGGTGAGGGACAGTGATGCGGTTTTTTTGTTGATGGATTCGAGAGAGTCGAGGTGGTTGCCGACGGTGATGGGGGCGAGGGAAGGGAAAGTTGTTATTAATGCTGCGCTGGGGTTTGATGGGTATCTTGTTATGAGGCATGGTGCTGGGGTTGATGCTGCGCGAGAGGGGGCGGGAGGGAAGAGGTTGGGATGTTACTATTGTAACGACGTTGTCGCTCCTGCCGATGTGAGTCATTTCTCCTCATCTCCGTTCCTCGACATGGTGAGGTGGTGCTGATGGTACGAATAGTCGTTGAAGGATAGGACGCTTGACCAGATGTGTACCGTCACTCGCCCGGGGGTGGCGCCTATAGCAGCAGCGATGGCTGTCGAGCTGCTCGTCTCGCTTTTGCAACATCCTCTCGGGTACGTTCCCTCTCTCCCCTGCCTCCCCTTCCTCACCTTCCCTCCCTGCCCGTCTGTCAGATGTTTACTAACGCTCCCTCAGCATCAACGCCCCAGCAGACTCCTCCACATCCTCCACAATCGATACCCCCTCCCCACTCGGGCTGGTACCGCACCAGTTGAGGGGCACCTTGCATGATTGGAAGACGCATTTGGTGGAGGGAGCTGCTTATGATAGGTGTACTGGGTGTAGTAAGACTGTACGTTCCTTCCCTCCTTCCTCTTTCTCTCTCTTCCTCCTTCCTTCCCAGCTTTTTGGTTTCTGTACGGTACGGATGAACAAGAAAGCTGACGGTTGTTTACAGATTGTCGAAAAGTACAAATCCGAAGGCCTCCCCTTCCTCCTCTCCGTCTTCAACAATGCGAATGTGCTCGAGCAAGTTACGGGGTTGGACAAGTTGCAAGAGGAGGGAGAGAGGATGATGGAGGAGATGGGGTTGGGGAGCGATGATGAGGATGGGGATGACTTTTAGGGGCTTTGAGGAGGGATGGTTGTATAGTATTGGGGTTTTTTTTGGTTGTATATACGTTTATCATGAAACTGTGAATGTTCGTTTGATACCTCACGTCGTCTTTTAGTATGCTCGCGAGCGCTCGACATTGATGACAGCCCGACCATTTCGTGAACCAGCGAGTGCGGCCTATATCTTTGAGTGCCCGTAGCATTGCATCGCTAATAGATGCCATAATGGTAGAACACATTCGCGAAACCAAGACTTCCCCAGATCCTTCCCCAGATCATTCTTCAAATCAACCCCCTCAAACAGGCTCTTCAACCCCACCCTCTTCCACCTCCTCCCCCAAGCTCAAGGCAGCCACAACTCCCTCCAACATCCCATTCCCCCCCAACTCTCTAATCTCTTCCAATATCTGCCCTTCAAGCGACTTTAGGACGGAGCGGGTGTATGTGAAGGAGTGCGTGGTGTGTTGGAGGTATGTGACGACGTGGTGTTTGAGGGAGGGGAGGGTTGTTTTCTTTTGTAGCACGTCTTTTTTTGTCAAAAGTCAGCCTTGAATCTTGGAGTAGGGGAGGAGAGAGAGAGGGAACAGGCGAGGGAAGGGGATAAGAGGACGTACTGAGGATTTGTCGGTTGGAAGGGTCTGCGCGGATACCGTGTACGATCGGAAAACTGAATTTGCCCTCTGTCAGGTCTTCGCAGTAGCCTTTATTACTCTCGTACTATCGCTCCATCAGCTCTTATACGCTACTCTCGACGTATAGATCAAAAGAGGGAGGAAGGGAGGGAAGGGGCGGGAAGGGGACGTACTTCGGTGGAAGAGAGGTTCATGTAGTCGTCTCGTATTTGGAACCAGATGGAGATGAGGTTGACGAGCGGGACGTAGTTGCTACATCTTCATCAGCGAATCGCTCATTCATTTCATGACTGACTGACGGCTTACGCTTTGGAGTCAGATTTGGCCATCATGAGTTTCACAGCTAGTCTCAACAGCCCTCCCGCCTCTGCTACGTATCAGCCTCCGGGTAAATCACAGGGAGAGAGAGGGACGTACTGCCAAGGACCATATCCACATATTCCTTCTCCGTCGGGCATGTCAACGAATCTCGCCAGAAGAGGTCCATACCCTGCCCCCTATGAAGCTGCAGTAGCTCCTCTACACCCCAATCAGCCTTCTCCTCTCTCCCCTCAACCCAAAAACGAAACGAAAGACGAGAACGTACCATTAACGACCTCCACCAAATCCTTCTCCCCTCCCCTCCCCCTCCCCCCACTCCCACTCTCCCCACGCCCGACAAGCCGATCCTTCCCCAGCTCCAAGAGGTGTTGGAAAGCTTGAAAGTAGACGTAATTGGCGGTGTTTATGGTTTGGGGGATACCGTATATGGTGTGTGCTACGGGGAGACCGCGCCGGAGTTCAGAGGAATCTTCGACGTCGTCCATCCTACAGATAGTTTCCCCATCCTCATCAGCGAATCATCCTCTCTCTCTCTCTCCCTCTCTCTCTCTGTCTCTCTCTCTCTCTTGGAGTAAGAGGGGGGGGGGGGGGGGGGAAGAGGGACGTACAGCAAACTAGCATTATGCAACATCCTCACAACCTTCGTGATGACCTCCAAATCCCCAGGCTCGACGTCCAGCCAGAGGTTGAACGCCGCTATGAGCTTGGAGCGGATCTCTTTCCCGGGGTTTGTGCTGATGTATGTGTATGGTTCTAGTATGATCTGTATATATCTATCAGCCCACAGACGAGGGACGAGGGGAGGGGGGAGGGGACGTACGCGTTCTTGAGCATCCGACCAGCCGGGGTTGTGGACGTGTTGTCGGAGGTTTGCGTAGTCGGGTACATCCACATCTCCTTGGAAAGACATCGTATACTCTTCAGTTTGGGAGTGCAAAGTCAAAAGTAGATCAGGAGAATGACGGACGGAGCAAGAGAAAGTGGAGGGGCTCGGCGGCCGCGCGTTCGTTCATGCGTGAACTGCAAAGTTTGGTTCCGCCTCCTGCCAGTCACAGCGCGTTTGTGAGACGATGGCAAGGGATGATAGGGTTGAGGGTCGGGGGGTAGGTTGTACTTTGCTATCCCTTCTCCCTTGGTACCATGGGCTGGCTATCGACCATATCATCTACGGCGGCGGGGGCGTCTCTTTTCTCTTTTCACCGCCACCCTCGGCACTCGAACCGACAGAAGCACCCCATTTGTAGCGTACCGAGAAAACATATTCATTGGGTGGATATACATAAAACGTTCTTCCCATTCGACGTACTTCTCTTTCTGATTCGCTTTTCGTTCTTATACACATAAACGTTCTTCCCATTCGACACACTTCTCTTTCTGATTCGCTTTTCGTTCTTAATGGTACATATTCTCCCACCCTCTTCTCACTCCCCGTTGCCTGGCCGACACCAACCACCTAGACCGACTGGGGGGTTTGACTGGATGGGGGTTTGTTTGGTTTATCGGATGGGGCTGAAAGGTGTGGGTACCATGATCTGTGAACGCATCTGATAGGCGAGCTTTACCGTCTACACCCATGCGTCATGCGTCAGCCGCCGCTCTTCCTTTGGCCAGGGGCGAGGGAGGGGAGATAGAGGAAAGAGGCAGAGGGAGAAGATGGCAGGAGGCAAACAGGAAAGGGAAGGGAAGGGAAGAGGAGGAGGGGGGGGGGGGGACGTACATCTTTAACGGTGTTACTCCAGCTTCCGACGGTCCATGCTTGGTCTCGAGTGCGTTTGCGGGTTTCCATATCGCTATTCCCGAAAGTCAATCTCTGGGGTAGGGGGGG